TTAGGGCTTAGGGCTCAGGGTTCGGGGCTAAGGGGGTTTAGGATTTAGGGTTTAGGGCTTAGGGCTTGGGGTTTAGGGCTTAGGGTTCGGGGCTTGGAGCGTAGGGCTTAGGGTTCAGGGTTTAGGGCTTATGGTTTGGGGCTTAGGAATTGGAGCTTTGGGTTTAGGGTGTAGGGCTTAGGGTTTAGGGCTTAGGGTATTGGGGATTAGAGGGTTCAGGGTTTAGAGTTTATTTAGGGTTTAGGTTTCAGGGCTTAGGGCTTATAGGGTTTAGGGTGTAGGGCTTAGGGTTCGGGGCTTGGGCTTAGGGTTTAGGGTTTAGGGCTTAGGTTTAGGGCTTAGGGCTTAGGGTTCGGGGCTTGGGGAGTAGGGCTTAGGGTTTAGGGCTTAGGGTTTAAGATTTAGGGTCTAGGGCTTAGGGTTCGGGGCTTGGGGATTTAAGGTTTAGGGTTTAGGGCTTGGGGTTTCGGCTTTAAGATTTTTTTGCGAAGTAAAAAGGCGTGCAAGTGTTTCAGCAGTTCAGACGTAGACGTGTATAGCTACCTTTCCAAGTTGCAATACCTACCAAGTCACTCAGTCCCTGATGCTTTAAGTGTTTGAGAGCTTTTACTAGACTTCGGCAAGGATGCTGTCGTTATGAAACTACCGACCCTAAACCCTACGTTTGGGACCCTAAACCCTAAACCCCTAAACCCTGAACCCTAAACCCTAAACCCTAGGGCTCAGGGATTTTTCAGCTTCAGCCTTCCCGAGGCCATGCGGGCCCCTGCTTCTGGACTTAAGGATACCAAGGCTTTCGTACGCTGCAAACCCTAACCCTGTAAACCCAACACCCACACACCCTATGGAAGGGGGCCCATGAGCTCTTCCTAAAAAAAAACGCAGACCTTAAGACCCTAAAGCCGTAATTTCATCCTGAAGCACCCTAAGGCTCTAAAACAAAACAAAACCAACCAACACCCACAAACCCCGAATATCAACTCTCTAGGCTTGACGGCTTCGGTTTCAGAGCTCGAAGCCTGGGATGCACGGTTCTGGTTGTTGCATGAACCAAAAACGGAAAAAGGCGAAACACGAAAGGTCGTATGGATCCCGTGCGACGTTTGATCTCGAATCCAAAAGACTGTAGACTGTGTTGCGAGCATTGCTGCGGGTGCTACAGGTAGTGTGCAAACCCCGCGCCCCATGATTGCAATGAGCAAAAAAAACAATGCACGACCGCACAAGTACAATGATTTCCTTAAAACCTAAACCCCAAACCCTTAAGCCGTAAACCCTCAACCCTGAACCCATTTCCTTAAAACCTAAGCCCTAAACCCTTAAGCCGTAAACCCTCAACCCTGAACCCATTTCCTTAAAACCTCAGCCCTAAACCCTTAAGCCGCAAACCCTCAACCCTGAACCCCAAAACCCTAACCTTCGTGCGGGAAAGGGGCACTGTCCAGAAGGCGCTCGAGGAGCCCAGACCAGGATGGGTTCATGTCACAGCCCTCCTGATCAACGGGAAAAGTACAACGAAGCTAGTAGTATCGCTAGTGGTGGTAGTAGTAGTAGTAGTAGTAGTAGTAGTAGTAGTAGTAGTAGTAGTAGTAGTAGTTAGTAGAAGTTAGTAGTAGTAGTAGTAGTAGT